AATAACTATAATTGAAATTTTAATTTTTTTTTCTATTCAATTATAATAGATATTGATTCTTTTCTAAAGTTTAATCTTCAATGTTTACGTTAGATCTTGTGTTATTATTTGATGTCATGCCAATCATTGGTATCGTGTGATTGTTTTATTTCTATTTCCTCAAACTATAAATAACTGTACTTTTCTTCTTGATTAGTGCTATAATAGTTATCACGCATACTTTTCAAGCTAATATTCAAAAACAAAGCGTGGAATTCGTACGGCTTAATGATAATAGATTATGTTGAAATCTTTTCATCAAAAGTAATCTATTATATTCTGGTGAGAGTCGACAGATAAATTAATTAGTGCTGATCGTATTTTGGCCACAAAACATGTCAGCAATTCTATAAAAAAAATTATCTCGAAAAACAAAATACTATATATTATCAAATAGTTTCCAGCAATAATCAACTAGATTTATATTCTAGCAAGAAATTATGTAATAAATTAAAATTGTTTTTATCCATTAAAATATGTCTATTGCTAATGTGAAATGATCCATATTATATCAATTAAATCAAACAATCAAATCTTACGGCTAATTTCCTTTTATAAACAATTTCTACCTTGAATATAAGATGATAGCAAGTACAGAACTGATAGAAAAATTTTCTTCTTTTTACTAAGAGAAAAGATAAAGTACATCTATGGTTCTATAATAATACTCGATGTATTGTATACAATAACTTATACATTTACCATCTAAGCAGCATATAATAAGTATCCTGAATATGGCTAAAATTTTCTTTTTGTAATGTTGTTTATTCAAGCAGAGAAATAACAAATAATCTTAAATTAAGATACAAAATTGTATTCTCTACAAATTTCTATTAGATTTAGTTTATTACGATCGAACAAATAAATTCCATAGGCTACGATTATATAATTCAATGAATAGCATTAGTATTATTTTTGTATAAAGGAATATTAAGTTTTCTAACAAAGAAAAAATAATCCATTATTAGACAGCGCTCGAAATACTCTATTGATTATAATATAATACAATGTTGTTTAATATGTATCCTTATAATTAGACAGCAAGCGATAGTTTAAAAAAAGCGACACTTTTTCTTTCATAGGATTACTTTGGAAAGCTCGAATAGTGTAAAAGAAAAAGGAACTTTTTTTTTTTTTATTAATAGACATTCGAATAGATGATTACTGCAACAAAATCGTAGAACGACAGAAACAAATTATTTGAGATTCATTGAATCACATAATGTAGCCTAGAGACATTATAATTACATTTAAGATATTTAACTTTCGAGGCAAAAGCAATATCAATCGAGTAAAAAATTGTAATAAATTTGAAGAATATTTTTTTCTCAGATTTTTATTCAAGAATATTATTACTCCTCTCTTATTTATAACAGTCAATTTGTAAGTAATTGAAGCAGAATATGACGTACAATGTATAACAATTAATGGGGCATAATAAATCAAACAAAATGTAGATATAATTTTCCAGTCATTTAAACTTATTCATATACCAAAAGATAGAGAATTTAATTTTTTTGAAAAAGATTATTTTACCTTTGCATGGCAATCCAAATATTTTATATATGGTGGATATTTCCACTGCGATGTATGGTTACTTGTGCTTTGCAGAAAGTATGGAGGATTTCGAAAGCAAAGGATTTTTTATCAAAAATGTCTGGTGAACCACAGTGCGACATGTTTTCGCTAAAATTCACCAAGAAGATCTCAAAATGAACGTCAAATTTTGTTTTTCTTTTATTTATTATGTTCTACATTATTACATGAAGCTATCGTTTAAACTTTGAAAGATAGACTATTTCATCGAGAATATTTTCGTAGTTTTTGAAACCTAGTGAATTTTCTCAGTTGCGATGTCATACTTTGTATTTAGTTACAAAGTAGGGGATATACGGTATACGTCAGTGTGTTGAAAAGTACTTTGTAAAAGTCAAATGCATGGTTTTTGTAGAGCTTGAAATTCTCTATCGATTGATATATAAACAAATAGTAAATAATTGAAAAATTGCATTTACAATTAGTCTGTTTCATTATGACCTACCCGTTAGCTTAGATTGTCCAATACAGAGATCGAACCGGTACTGATATGGATTTCAGACCAGCTGGTAATAGGTAGACCGGTCGCAAAAAATCTAGACTAGTATTGTATCTACCTCAATAGTCGAAACTTAAGCTAAAGAACATATAAATATAAAGCGGAAATATAATTAATCGATGAGATCCATCTGTATTCAGTAGACAGGCTTATATCTGTATTGTTCGCTGTGTATGAAGGTATTGATGTCGCTTGAGTTTCAATCTGTTGAAAACAATTTTTAGGCGGATTGTTTCATCATCTGCAACTTGGCTTTTGTGTCTCACAAAGGAGCATATTCAACTAATCAGTCGTTTTTTTAATGAAAGCTGGTAGATTCTAGGTTATCGATCATGCTGATTCAGAATATGACGATGAGAAATTCTCCTAGATCTTCATATGCTGATTTTCTAGCAACTCGATATATTCTATAATCTAACTAGATCAAAAACGAGTTCATCAAAAATTTTATTAGCCTGGAAAACTAACATATAAAACCCTAAGAGAACTTGTCATGGCCAATAACTTACAATTCATTAGCTTTTATTAAAAAAGCAATCGATGAGTTGAAAATATTCGCTCATAAGGCGTTGATATTACTCATGATTATTTAGTATGATAGTTGAACTTATCTTTCAGGTACTGCATTACTTAAAAAATCGAGCTTTCCTCTTGGATTATAAGGATCCATTGAGATTGTTCTAAGAAATTTTTTTTTCCTATCTAATTTCTTAGACTAGAAAATTCTAAGGCATTATTTCAGAGCAGTATATTTAAACGATAAAGTGTTTTATTCATTTTTGAACAGCAACGAATTATTGACAGAATCAACTGCATTGAGTCTACGATGCTGGTGCAACAATTATTAATCGAAAATAGATTCCGGCAAAGGTCTATTGCGTGACTCAATTTGTTACATAATTGTAGGAAGGTAAAAGGTTTTTTCTTCAACGTATCGGTGTGAAAATTTAATGGCACTATTCTTCATACATTAGTACCTTAACATGATTTACATTACATACCACCTAAGATCGATGTATGTATGTACATGGCATGTAAAAATCAAACGATGTTAGAATCATCAGTAAGAATATTTTCATCAAGAGAAACTTTATTTTCAATTTCTAGATATGAAAACAATATTATTTCAAACAAATTAACGGCAAGATTTTAGTTTGATTATGCCTTGGATTGTGTATGCATATCGCTCATGAACTATTCAGCACAATGATATAAGACCTTGATAGATTATACAAAGAAAACAAAAGAAGAAGAACGATAAGATAAGGATGCACGTTACTAGAAAACTCTTTGACATAGCCTAACAGTAAAAGTATTTGTACTAAAACTGTCGCATATCATTCGATGATCCCGATCAGAAATAATACTATTCGGTACAAGATCAAAGTCTGCATTTGACATACAAAATAGAGCGCTAACATAAATCGTGGAACAAAAAAAAGTCGTATATAATGCTAATTTGAGTTGCATCGTATATTAGCTTTTTTGTTATTTTCAATGTCAAAAAAATAAAATCGGTTGACTAAAGGTAAATCTTAAACTAATCGATACTTTCGTGACATAATTTCAATACAAAATGTATTTCCTTTCTTTTTTTTGTCTTAGAAACGGAAGAAAATGTAATTAATGTAGATGAAGTATTTTTCATTCATGGTTAAATATTGTGCATGCAAATGCATATGAATCAATATTTACTTTAGGACAGACACGTCAATTTTTCATGTAACGATGTTTGGCCTGGAAATTTACTAGTTCTCAACATAACAGAACCAATTGAAATAATAAAGTAACAAATACTGAAGTGTGTGAAATCCTTCTATGTTAATAAATCGAACATTTTGAATGCTAACGACAGTTATGTTAATAATTGATTGTATTCATTAAATGATTACAAAAAATAAACATCACTTCGTTATATTAATCATTTTTAATATTGGTTTTATTATATGAAAAGATTTTTGCTATGCTTATAGTTCAAAAAAATTTGTAGGAATTTCGAACGTTTAATATGAAAAAATCTTCATAATCCTTATGATTGAATACCGATAAGCCCTATTTAATGAAAATATAAAATTTATTGTTAATATAGTATTATTCTCTTGGAGAAATATTGCCCTGCATACTAAGCGAACATGTTTTAGTTGATTATGATTGATGAAAAAGAATTAGGATTAATCATCCATGACTTGTTTATTTTGGGATTTTTTCCGATATAAAATAGAGAAAGGTCAATGCTATTAATAAGTAATTAATACAAATAACGTCATCGTTTATAACGCTTTTTATATTTTTTAATTTTTTTCATCAAAATCTCAGATAATAATCAATCAATTATTTTTACGACGGATTCATTTTTTTTTCTTTTTGTTATTGAATATCATAATGAAACATTCTCAATAATACTACATCATAAAAGTATGTGCAAATATTCTTTTGAATTCTTCTGTATAGATTTATCTAAATAAATGACGATTATCTATATTCTTTTTCTATTCATAATATTATAGAAATGATGCGCATGCTATGTCATGCGTTGTCATTTTCTTGTTTTGTCATATCGTCATTTCATCTCATAGAACAATGCAGACACACGCAAAACAAAACAAAAAAAAAGAAAAGGAAAACAAAAGCAAGATACAACACGCACAAAGAAATTAACGTGAAAGACTGATGGTGCAATAGAACTGCACCTAATTTTTTTTGTGCTAATAGAACATACAAAAAAAAAACGAAAAGAATAATCGCTGTACATATAAAGAAATTGATCGTTGAGAGAGTGAGTCTTAGTTTCTACGACAAAGAAAACAAATTGATCAATATTGGAACAAAAAAAAATATATATATATTTATAGAGAAATTCATATCATCACCGAGACGGATGTATTGAAGATGAAGATGTATTATGTAATGAATAATCTAATGGATTTGTTGTTGATAAATTTAATAAATTTTCATTAGGTGATGTTAAAGAATGAACAATTGTTGTTGATAATTTTGTATCATTAATTATACCATTTGTATGATAATGATATAAATTTTTTTGATAATCATTTAATAATGTATTTGAATCATTTGTTATGATTGTTGAAGGTGATGATTTTGTTGTTGTTGATAAACGACGTGAATCAAGAATATTTTTTACAGTTGAATCACTAGTACTATTTGGATTTGTTTTACTGTTCATACTAAAAAAAAAAAAGAAATTTAGAAACAAAACAATGAAGTTTTTTTTATTTTCCATACCGATTCGATGTTAATTCTTTATCAACAAATGCTTGTTGTTGCATATAAGAACCATATTGTTGTAGAAGCATTTGTGTTGTCCATGTTGAATTAGGAATTAATGTTTGTTCATTTTCATCAAATTTTCCATTAGTTACTGTTAATAAATTAATTGTTGATGGTGTTCGTTGTAGATTTTCATTTGTTATTATTGTTGTTGAATCTTCATCTGATATATCAGAATAAGCTGGTGATGATGAAGTTGGGAGAGTTTGAATAGTTGAATTTAAATTAATTGGATCAAGTGATGATGATAATGGTGGTGGTGGTGGTGTAGGAATTTTTACAGATTTATTATTATTATTATTATTATTATTATTATTAGTTTGATCAATTTTTGAATTTGTCCATGATGATGTAGAAGATATTGATGGTTCATCTTGCATATGTAATAGAAAATGATCAGTTGATTTTACTGTAGATTTAATTTCATCTTGTTCTATATTCGTTTCATTATTATTAAGAACACATCTAAATAAATATATATGATTTTATTGAAAATAGAAAAAATTAAAATATTCATTTCAAGAGATTGCTATGAGAAAGATGAGACCGAAGCGAGACTTGGACTTCAGTCGGAACCGGAACTAAATTCTTTTTGATCCCGATCGGGACAAAAAAAAGCCATAGATACAGCTCATTACTAGCTATTACAATTTTCATAGTAAAATTAATCTATTTTTCGTAAACAATAGAATTATCGAGCACATAAACGTGTAGAATATGTGACGTATTAGTGAATTATAAAAAGTAAATGAGTCTCCAAGGGCGGAGGATATTAGAGGTCATGCAAAATGTATGGAGCTTATTGACATTACTCGAAAAATCATATCGTAGTTTTTTGACAAAAAGTACGAAATCAGAACTGAAAATTACTTTTTTTTCTTTTGACCGAGATTAAAATGAATTGATCCTAATTGAAATCTGTTTTTACAAATTGAAAATACAGAAATAAATTATCGGTTAGGCTTTTTTTTAATGCGTGATAAGGGTTTTTTTTTTGTTTTCTTCTTTCTATTAAGATAACAAACCTAGTTGGATTTGTTGATAAATGAATAGATGTTTGTTCATTATTGTTTAATGGTGATGATCGAACAAGATTTGATGATATTTGTGGACATGGCCATGTTAATGTTGTTTGACGTTGATGCTCAGGTGATGGTCGTCGTACATAATCAGCAACATTAGCAAGAATATGTGCAACATCTTCTTCATCACGTGTATTAGCTTGTTGTATAGATATTGCTGATATTGAATCAATTTTTTTATGTGCATTACTTAAATGATATTGTAAAGCAATATTTGATACAAATTGTTTATGACATTGTGATTCAGGACATGATATTAATTGTATATCATTATTTATTGATGAAAAAAATGCTGTATTTGTTCGGTATGATGGTGAATTATTTGTTGCTAAGTCATCAAATGTATTTAATTGTATTCGTTTTGATTGTCGAGATTTAATATTATTACGTAGTTTACGATCATCACATCCTGATATCAATGTATTTGATGATAATTGTTGACATGATGATGATAATGATGATGATTGATAATTTGAAAATCGATTATTTCCACCGGCATTCGAACGTTTTGTACGACTAGTTTTACTACTATTACGAGCATCATAATCACTAGTCGGTGATTCACATGTTAATCTATTTAAAAATAATAAAAAGCTATTCTTTTTCGTTGTTTTTTTTTTTTCGTTTATTCTACCTCGGACACGCCCAATCTTGTTTAGTTGAATCTAATAATGTACCTACATAAGTTTTTCCTCGCCATGTTACATTCACAACCAGTACACCTTAATAAAAATAAAATTTTGTAAAATTTTCAAATTCATTATCAGAACATTTTTTTTCTTATTTTATTGACAAGGTCAATCCTTGAAAAAACAACCTATACTTTACATACAGGTGAGATAGGTGAAATTAATCTATTGCAAATAAAAGAAAGAAGAAGTTTTACTTATCATAAACAATTGATGCGTATCAATGTATATGATTAATTGATTTTGTATCTTACATATATATATATATATATATATTTATATACAACTATTAGTTGAGCCGGAAAATAGAAATTTGCCGATGGGCATAGAGTATCTTGACGAGGAAAAAAGCTTCCATCCATCATCAAAAGACACGATGATAAGATTGCACACACACACGCACACACTTATTCATCGAGAAAAAATACGACATGTCTTGCGTTGTTCTGTGACAACATGCCATATGACAGAATGCGAGGAAACACTTGCATGCAAGAAAAAAAAAAAAAAGAAGAAAAAAGAAAAAACTTCATTCGTTCTCTTTCATCCTTGTCATCAATAAAGCACATATATATATATATATATATATACATAAAAAGCAGTGGGAGCATCTGTTTAGGTTGATTATTTATGACCGATGTTACAGAGCACACATTCATATGTGTACGATTATGATTATTATTATTTTTATTATGACGATGAGATGATGATCTAGAAAAAAAAAAACTATTACGATTGCTTACCACTGTCAGTTTCATTCCAAACGATGCCTTCTAAAACAACGCTAGTACCCTAATACAAAAAAAAAAGAATATTATCACGGAAATAAGATTTAATAAAAGAAAAGACATACGGGCTCACAGGGACCAAGTTGATCAGGTTCGGTAGCCAAACCAATAGAGACTGTTTCAACACTGGCATCCACTTTAGTTGCTGATGGTTGCTTAAGAAAAAAAAAAAAAAAAAATAATAATAACCTTTCTTTTTCTTCTGTTTGAATTTTATCATAACAAGAGATGACATACGAAATTTTTGTTTTATTTTTTCAACTTACATTTAAATCATCTTGTTTAAATCGTTTTTTTGATGATATATCATCTATATTTGGATTTAAATCATTATTATTATTATCAATCGTTACAGAACGTTTTGTTGCTTGTTGTTTACTATTAAATGCAGGTGATGATGATCGACGTGCCGTTTGATTTGTAATAGGACGTTTTAAACGTTGATTATGTATTGTTGAACGAGAATTAGTATTATTATTATCGTCGTTAGCCATTGATGATGAAATTAAATTAAGATTGGTTTGTTGTTTAGTCGTTTGACGCTTTATTTTAAGTATAAGCGATGATGATGATGATGATGATAAATTATTATTAACATCATTTGAATTTGATTGTTGTTGTATTTTTGACGTTATTGTTGGACGTTGTTCAATTAGAAGATTCATCGCTTAATAAGCCACCTCATATTGTTATTATTTTATTTAGTAGGGATATTTATGTCTGAATAAAATAAGGTATTCCTATTGAAAGAAAGAACAATAACAAATGCACATATGAAAGAAAGAAAATAACGCACGTATTGACAATTAAGGACGGGTCCGGATTAGTAGAAGAAAGTCATATGCCTATTACTATTACTGCTACTGCTGCTGTTGACTGCTGCTGCTACGATTTATTCCCTTCCCTTCCCTTCTCTTTATGTTTTCTTTTTTTTTCCTTCTCGACGGGTCAGTCTATTTCACATTTGTGAAGAACAAAGAAAATATTAACATGACGAGAAAAAGAAAAAAAAAAGACCCTTTGTCGTTCTGCACATATATATATATTCTCTTTTAGGGTGTGCATTTGCTTTCGGAGAGTGATGATTACCGTATCGTTTTTTTTTTTCTTTTTCGTCTCCAGAGAGAAATGAATGTGCCGATGCAGAAAAGATATTCTCTTCTCCTTCCTTTCTTTCTATCGTTCGTTCGTTCGGTCTCGTCCAAAGAAAGACGAGAAAGAGAAAAAAGAAAAGTGTAGGTTCTCACTCGCCTTCCTAATGCCTATCTTCTGCATCTTTATATGTTGTTGCAAGAGTTTTAGGCGGACACACGTTCTTTACTCGTTCGCTTTTCTTTTCTTCTCTTATGTTCTTTGCCAACATGCAAACAGATTCGTGGCTTACAAATGCTATTACTGTTGCTTTTCTTTGCTTTCTCATCAACTCATTTCCATTTTCACTATTATTCTTGTCGACAAGATATTTCAGATTATGTTGACAAATTTGTAGTTATACTAATAACTATGAGAAATCTATATTTGTATATATATATATATACCTATAATCAGAATTGCACTTGAGCCGTTTTTCCTTTTTTGTCTCTCTCATTTAATATATATATTTTTTTCTTTTCAAGAGATTCTTGAAATGTAGTGAAAAAGAGAAGCCTTGTTTTATTTCAATTGACGTCTCGATTTTTTATTTTTATTTCAATAGTTATATCAAGAAAGAAAGAAAGCAAGAAAGAAAGAAAGAAATCTAATACTATTTCCGATCTTGTCGTTGTCTCAATCTGTGTACAATGTAAATATGTCTATTAATCTTAATAGCGACGGTCTCATATGGCAATAATGATGTTTTTCAATCTTTACGTTTTTTTTTCTCTTTCTGTGTGTGTGTACATAAGAAAATAAACGAAGTGATATATTCTATTTATATAACCTTTTCTTTTCTAAACAATCTTATGAACTTGAAAAAAAATTTTTTTTTTTTTTCTTTTTTGATTGTGTTCTTATAACTGAAATCATAATTATATTTTATGCACATATTTTGTTTAGTCAGAACATAAAAGAAGAAACAAAACATTGATTATCAACGAAATAAAAACGGAAATTTCATAATGACAGGAAACTGCAATGATGAATAGACATGCATCACCTCATCGACTAAAGAGAATAAATAATACAATTGACTTGACTTGCTTGATAGAATATATTAAAAGAAAAAAGAATTCTATCCACTTGAATTAACAATGATGACATCAGAAAAAATTTCCATGTTAAAAGAAAAAAATGAATTATTATTAATCTTTTCTTGTTCATTATCATTTATATAAATGACATAGAGATCAAGTGACAGAATTGAAATCGATACGCATTCTTTATTTTGTCATTATATAAATATTTCTTTTTTTTTTTCTGTTTTTCTTATTGTTTGTCTGATGATGATACATTAATAATAGTGGTAATAGTAAACAAAAGAAAGAGAGAAAAGAATTTACATGAGAGTTATATGTCTCTTTGGGAATATCGAACATTCGACTAGAATATATAAACTGAATGAAAGGATATATACAAAAAAAAACAATAAGAATAACAAATAAACACACACAAAAAAAAAAAAGAAGGACCCATTTTTTTACTAGACATCAGAGCACCTTGTCATACATGTTACAATGAGACAAAAAAAAATGAAAAGAGAAATAAATGAGTATCTGAACAAATATATGTATAAATACAAACTAATGCGATGATTTCGATAATGAAGAATAATTTGATGTATTTAAATAAACTTGTGTTGGAATTGAATGATATGATGAAGATGATTTATTAAATGATGCTAAATTAAATGGATTTGTTGAATTTTGTAACGAAGAAAAATAGTCTGATGAATTCGTTGATGTTGAATATAATATATCATTAGTAAAATGATATGGTATTAGTGTATCATTTGATGTTTGTTGTGCAATTGAATTTGATTTATTTTGTTCCATATTCATTATTATTTTTGAATTTGATAAATCAATAGGTATTGATGTTTGATTTTCAATATTATTTGATAATAATGGACTTGATGATGTTGTACTTGTACCACTTGTTATTGGACTAATACTTCGACTTGAATAATTATCACCTATTTCATCATCACCATTAACATTTAAATTTTTTATAAGATTTTTTTCTTCATTAATTTCATCTTCATCATGATTATTATTTGATGATGATGATGATGATGATGATGATGATGATGATGATGATGATGAT